TGTTAAATTATCAGAGAACTAAACTCAATGCAGCATTTACTCGTGAGCACGAGCAAAGAGCTCGGTGAACGGCTCAGTGCGCACGACGTAGGGCTCAGTGAACACGATCAAAAGACTCAGTGAACACGAGCAAAGCAAAATACTCAGTAAACACGGCGTAGGGCTCAGTGAACACGACGTTGGGCTCAGTGAACACGACCTAAGGCTCAGTGAACACGACCCAGGGCTCAGTGAACACAACCTAAGGCTCAGTGAACACGACCTAGGGCTCAGTGAACACGACCTAAGGCTCAGTGAACACGACCTAGGGCTCAGTGAACACGAGTTAAAGGCTCAGTGCGGACGAGAACAAGACTCAGTGAACATGGCCTAAGGGGTCAGTGAACCCTACCTAAGGGGTCAGCGAACACGAGTCAGTGCAATAAGGCTGTTTGAAGGGCTGCTCTTGCTGCGACTGTCGACAGTGAAGCCAAATTAACTGCACGGCGGCCTTCACACAATTCCACCGTCTTCGGGAGTTTGGTTGTCAGTCGTACGCAAAACGCATAAATGCATCTTACAGATAATTGTGCGCAATAGAGTAAGAGTTATTTGCCTGTAAATTTGTATTAAAATCATTGGCTGACTGAGACTGGAATGCGATTCATATATGAAATATAAAGAAAATAAAGAAGGCGAGAATTGATAAAATATGTCGAAAGAATTTTCAACTGAAAAAACGACAAAACTAGTACTCAGTATTTTATCAACGAGAATATTTACACATTAGGAACAAGCAGGATTTGTTAGCCAGCGTGCGAATAAGAAAAAATGTCGTATTTTTGTGCGTAGTTTGCCGTCAAAATGCTTACAATTGTTGATAATTTTACGATTCCAAAATTCACGATTGAGGGGAATCCAAACATTTCTGTATTCACATTGACCAATTAGGAAAAAATGTGTTGCATCTCCTCATTTAGGCAGGCCAGCCATACTCAAAATTTTGCTATCTAAGCCCTGATTATGGTTGGGAAACTTGTTTCTTACTCACGTAGGTGCACGTTCTATCTCGTAGGTGCACGTTCACACTCGTAGGTGCGCGTTCTCACTCGCAGGTGCACGTTTTCACTCGTAGGTGCACGTTTTCACTCGTAGGTGCACGTTCTCACTCGCAGGTGCACGTTTTCACTCGTAGGTGCACGTTTTCACTCGTAGGTGCACGTTCTCACTCGCAGGTGCACGTTCTCACTCGCAGGTGCACGTTCACACTCGTATATGCACGTTCTCCCTCGTTACATTAGCCACTTGGTCAGCTCCATCACTGTCATCTATCGTACTGATGAAGCGCTCGAGTGGGGATTTAATTTGCATTAGAGTGAGCCTAGCCAGAGCCGCGTCAGTACAGGAGGCGCCCTTGTTTGCTGGCGCCTCCACTGCGCCGCAGCTGCGTAAATTGTACGCCCGCTTTAAGAGGTGTGCGGAGAGTATGGAATTGGTATAGTTGTTCGTAAACTTTCAAGAGACAGTTACTTCCAATCATGCACGGGAGTAGCTGACTGAAATTTTAGCCCCTCATTTTAGTTGTTTGACTGTGACTAGTCTACACGCTCATGGAGCACAACACCACTGTGCAGAGTGCAGAGAGGATAACTTATTTCTGATATTTCAAAATCACGTCTTGGAGATTGACTACATCTAATACCAAGATTCTTTTGTATGACTTTTTCTAGCAGCTATGCGTCACATGCCACGGGTGCAAGTCGATGTATAAACTTACACTACTCTCTACTGATTCATTTACAGTGGTTGTTCCTTCAATTCCTGGAAATAATGCAATAAAGAAATTTTTCTGCAATTTCCTTACTATAAATACCAGTCTCAGCGTGTGGAACAAGAAATTGAAGGCAGAAATTAAGAATATCGCAAAATGTCTGAAATAACAACTTCTCGAAAAATCCGTTATTCACCTCACTGAATATAGGTGAGTGTGGACCACAATTAATATGCAGTGATCACCTATTTAACAAATTTATGTCGTTCAATATCTTCTCTCACATAATTTATAGCTTGAGTTATAAACTAATTCTCAAGACAATTTCAAAAAATATTTATTAAATTTTGAAAACTATTTTTAAAATCTGTAAGTTTGTGAAAGGCTTCGCCGTATTTAATGAAAATACAACCTAATTGACGAAAAAGTCAAGAAGCAAACGATTCTTCAGAAAAAAAATTAATAATGACGGCTTCTAGAGTTGCCAATTTGTCGCGTCTCCGGTGAACTTTCCAGGACAGGGTCTAGTATTTTACTGAATACGAGACGAGGCTTCAGTTTCTTATAGGAATAAATTCGCACAAAAAATGCTAACGAACTTTGAAATATAATGGGCACAAATAATGCTAACTTAATATAGTAACCATATAAATACTACGGTGCTAACGTGATCAAGGAAATACCTATGAGCTCGCAGAATTACTGGTATTCGTTTTAAAATATCTACGAGTAAGTAATCATGTTTTATTCGCACAAGTAGATATTTGCAATACCTACACTAGAGGTAAACTGAGTGCTTACTTCATGAACATTCGCATATTGGCTCACTGGAAATTGCATTGAAAGAACATGAGTCTATTTAAGCTATCACAGTGAGCGCTTAATAAAAGCATGAGTGCTGGAAGAAAAGGAAGAAGGCAGCATAAGAATGTAAACCTTATTCAATATTTTTTTAACTTAATTAGTGCGATGTTTAAGAAATTTGATTCATATATCATGGGCTAAAAAAAGCCTCAGAAAGCAGTAATCTCGAAATTGCGTGGAGCCTGGAAACTTTTCAATCCTCTCAGTATTCCAGTCGATCGTTGATTCAATACTGATTGATGTTATGATTGCGTAGACACTTTGGTTGGGATCTTTGTCATCGAAGTTCTAAGTTTACTAATTGTTGGAATTATGAGCGCTAAAGAGCGCCCACGATTTACCAGGAATGATTCTTGCTCGCAAGAAACGTAGATTTGTCAATTTCAAATTAAAGCTGTACGAAATAAACATAGATTAATCTGTTTTACTTGCCGAGCAACCTCAATCTATGAATATTTTTTAAGATTTCCAACTTACAAGAATTAAAGTAAACATCAGGTAACTTGATGATAACATCGCAATCCGATAATGAATCGCCATCTAACTATAATTTTAGCCATAAAAAAATTATTTCTCCCAGCTATTAATTATTGTACTAATTGACACTTGCCTAATGTGTTTACATGCCTACGTCGAAGCTCTAGTAAACGTCGTAGCCGCGCCAGCTTCCCAGAGAGCGGCGTCATACACGCGTCCACCACCGCGTCCAGCGCACGACTACCTGTTGCTGCAGCTGCCGACCTGCCGCAGCTACCCACGCCATGCACCTGTTTAATCAGCTACCTGGCCGCCTCCGTACACACGCGCAGGTGCTTTTTCCGCTGTTCCTACAGCTCCCGAATTTTCGTAAGTCACGTCTCCGCTGGCTCGAAGCTCGCGTAATCCAGTTTTTTCTGACAACAGTTGCGCCAATGGATGGACGGGTCACTCTTAGCATCTTTCCGCTCACTTTCAGCTGCTACGTTTATTTAATAAATTAGATTCATTTCTTAATGCACTCGATTGTTTATACGTTTAATTGTGGATACTTGGATTTTCCCTGACTGTAATACAATAATTTTTCTTTCTACTGGCAACGGCTATGCTGAATTCCAGCTCCATTTAACATATAGAAGCAACAAGACGTGTCTTTAGTGGAGCATCTTTACATTCCGTGTCTTGAGTTCCGGAGACTGGAAACTTCAAGACTTGGGGACGGGAAATTTCAACGAGACATCAAGTCTATCATCAATGTTTCTAACCCTTCGCCTTGTTCACTTCCGGAAACCGATGCTTTCGAAGACTCACTACTCGTAAACCAAACGCAATCTAGTGACAGTGGATGGCTCTTCTAAACGATCTCTTGATCAATCCGTTCACTCCCAAGCTCGGGCTTGCACTCCTAAGCACTCATTTTTAGCGCATTTTCTCATATATGGGAAAAAAGCGCTGTTGTGCTCGTCGTGTCCGTCCGTCCGTCTGTCCGTGACTTCACGTTTTCGTCGATTTTGAGAAAATGCGCTCTCTGTCACTCACTGCAGTGAGTACAGAGTTATTTTTTTATAATTAGTTTCAAGACTTGTGGCGTACGAAGCCCCTCCCAGCCTGTTCTCTGTCAGATGTCTATATTTCCTAAGCACTCGGTGTAAATTGAATTCGCTGCTAAATAGTTTAGGTTCATTGTTGGAGTGTTTCGAAGCCTTACCCTGATCTTCCTATTATAAATATAAACAGTTCATAATTTTTTTCTCCATGCGTATGTTTAAACTCAAATGGCGTTTATCGTAGTATAACATGGTCCTGAATACATTTAACATAATAAATTCATAAAATTTAACGTATTTTTTTATTATTCAAATACAGTCGATACATTAGAGACGAGATCTGATTGATCATTAGAGACGAGATCTGAAGAGCCGAAGACGAGATCTCCGGCTCTTGTTTACTCCGTCGCGGTCTCCTCATTGAGCCTGAGCCTTTATTGTTCATTGAGCATTGTTCTGTTGAAGGCATCATTGCCAACGAAGCCATTTTTTCAAGCTGACCATAGAGTCTGTTCTATATCTGAGGCAGCAACATTCATGGATGTTCGAATGCGTATATTGACAATTTTTCAGCTCGCTCAAGCAACTGCTGAGAGAAATTCCCGACATTTGACTGTTAGTGAAGACTTTGCTTGCACAAGTATATTTCTTGGCTTTAAAAATACTATTGGTATAATGACGAAATATTTTCTGGAGAATTAGAGTTAACTCCTCACTTCACAATACTATTGAATATTTATTAAATTTTGATCCAAATTAATAGCAATTAGAATTTCAGCGCGAGGAGAATTCGGTCAAAAACAAAAGCTATTGCAAGCATTCGGACGATAAATTAGGTTTCTCATTAATAAAACGTCATAAAATGAGTGATGAATAAAACATGTACGTACATAGAAGTATCACAATGTTCAATAGACTATATCTTGTGGTTTTCATTCCATCGTTAAACATTTTCTTATTCTAATATATACTGCACGAACGCCCACCACTTAAATCATATACATTGTAGATAAGCTCATTCGTTGTTGGCGATCTTAGGGAATATAGGCTGAGCATTGAATTTGCGGTCTAAATTTATTACGAACTTAGAAACCTCACTTCACTTTTATATAATTTTAAATCATCTCCCGAGAGTCTCCCTTCCAGCAATGATTGGCAGCGGGATGGAATTTTCTTCTATCTTCTTAATTTTTATGATCTGATAATGGACAAGAATACGACACGGCCTTATTATATGATCAGAGAATCCGTTCTCTTAGTATATTATCTTCTGAGGCTAGGGCTAAATATATATCTCATTCCATCAAATCGTTTCTCATTTCTCTTGCATATATATCTCCCGAATATGCATAATTATACACGATTACAGAACCATAACGCATTTGATTATGCAAAATCATTCCCTCAATGTTGGAGTATATCAGAATAGAAGGAGTTATGGAAGGCAGACACTCGCGAGATTCCATTCATTGGAATAACAATAGCGCCAGGTAATTGTAAATTGAAAACAATCATTTGCCCATTCAACTCCTCAAAAATTTTATCCGTTGTTAGAAATTCACGAGTGATTCCTCAAAGTGGCAATCAATTGATCTTCAATTAATAAACCATAGAAGCTATGACAGCTAACTTGACTGAGCAAGTCAGTCAAGTGCACTAATTTCCTCGGAATTAATAGGATTTTCTAACGATCTTACGACGGGAGGCTGGACATTGACCAGCCACGTGGGCACCAGCAGCTACCACTAGTAGCCAGGGTGGGGTTCTTTGAATGCAGTTTATCAGCGTCTAGTTTCTATAATTTTTCACCTAGTGGAAATACATTTTTACACTATCCATCGATACCCTGTAAGCGTCGAAAGAACAAATCTGTTTAATAAAAATAACTTAACAGTGAGTATTCATCACCGGAACACAACTCTTTTCCGACTCGCTCGTTCGTCCGCAACTTGAAAGGCGGTCTTGATTTCACTCTTGACCCATCTGTACAGCCCGCTCCTCGACCCGCCTGTCACCACGGAGAAGACTGCAGGTGGCGCCTGGGGACACTGCAGGCTCGTCTGTACCCCCGCTAGGCGGTAGAGGCCGTCACGCACGCTGGGGCACACTAGCGCCGACCCTCCGGCGCCCTGAGAGCGGAATGACCGAGAATTTATTTATGAATAACAAACGCATTAACAGTTGGTATAGTCTAAAATATCTAAAATTACTGCACTGACCCACCATCAGTATTTGTAAATTGAAAATCACACAAGGCAACTAACAAAGAAACCAATAACTCAACATTGCATGTCTCACCAGACAAGGACTTTCACTTGACGTGGATCCAGCGCATACAAATGTATGATGGAGTCGCAGTTCCGGAAGACTCGTGTCACTGTCCCTGTGCTTTGTTCGCGTGCCGCCATTCACGTGATACGATGATATTGAGTTAGAATATCGCTGTGTTTTACTCGTTTGCGTGTCATGGCTGTCATAAATAGCTGGTATCTCTTCAGTGGTGTTCTGGGTGCGGAGGTTTGCCAGCTGCTGCTCCCGAAGCTGCGTCTGGCAAGAGGGGCCAGGAATCAGTGGCGCAGTCAATCTCTTCAGTAGCGGCTTCTCGTCAGGAACATCTGCGGAGTGAGGATGTACAGTTAATTAAATTTACGTTTTAATATTTTATATACTCGACATTGCTTCACTGCCGTTAGCACAGCTTTATTTATTTTAAAAAAAGATTGATTTATTATAAAGCAGTGTGGCAAAGTGTCACCCGACCTAGCGACGTGGCGGCCCAGCCCGTGACGAGGCAGCGCGACGGGTCCACGTCTGAGAAGGACGAGGCCAGGCACAGCGGCTGTACGTGCATGCTCGTCGTAACTCGTCGCTGTACAATCAAAAGAACTTATCAGTGACCAGCTGTAGTCTGTACTTCCATAATTTGTGACCACTCACGTGTGGAAATATATGCATAAATTTAGCTTCTATTACCGCAAACAGCATCTTAATACTATAGCAATACGTTGGTACGCCTTCGTCTGTTAAAGAAAATTTTGCAATTAAAATTCACTAAGAAATAGCTGACCCTGAGGATAACGAGAGCAACGTCGTTGACGCCGGTCGCTGCGTCGAACTCTGGGTGAAGGACGACGCGCGCGACGAGGAGCGTGTGGTGGGGGAGAGGCTCGTCCTCTGACGTCACGTCCCAGTCACCCAGACGCACCCGCAGCAGGTGGACGTTGGCCCTGCGGGGGAACAACAATGAGCTGCTACGATGAAGGCTGTCTTGATGTAGGGACAGTAAATTCTTTTTATGGGACTAGACTAAATCTAGCAGAGGCTAGAACAGAATCATAGCTTCAATAATTGTTTCAAGTGAATCGATCCGCATTTTTAATAGAAATCTCGTCTACATTTATTGAATCTTTTTTGATAAATTCAATATCTATCGTTGCTTTAAAATTAATAAAATTGTATGGGGCCTCTTTTCTGATTCATCTGATAAAATAAGATACGTCACACGGGTGATTTTAATTCGAACAGCTCACTGGTAATAAACAAACAGCAAATTCACAACTGAATGACGAAAAAACTCGCATTCATTCCTTACAGGCGCGAAATAAACAAAAAAAAATAGTACAAGTTATTACTTGTACAATTTCTTGTAACGAGTTTTCCTTGAAATAGTACAAGTTTTCATTTGTGCACATAGACTTTTCACAGCAGACGCCCGTTCGGCGCCCGCAGGTACTATAGTACGTGACAAAACTGACCTCGAGTTGTATTTTCGGAAAGTTCAAGATATGCAAGGTAGCTCAAGGTTCCATGGAATTTTCGCAAGTTCGAACACAATAAAAACAGATATTTGGAGGCACGTTTTGAAGGAAAGCCTCAGTGAATAATGAAGCATTGCACACTTGACGCGAGATCAAATCACTCGCCGTCATCGCACAAAGATTTACCGCCGAAATTATAAAAATATAGTGAATCGACACTCGAGAAATTAAAACCATATTCATGAAATCTCAACATCCATTAATGAGAGTAGTCACTAGACTTTTAATGCCACGTCATTATCTTTAAGGGTTTGAAGAAAACATAGCACATTCCAAATGGCGTTTGCAACAAAAAGACAGTTTTTGAATGAAGCCATTTGCTTAGTCGTTTCGGTGACGTGATCCTCATTTTCGCTTGGCTTCTAATGATTATTTTCTGCTAGAAAATGTTATCAGGGAACAATCGATCTTGACGTTTGCTACTCTATTAAAAAGTGTATCTATCGTATATGTACTTATATCAGTGCTTGAAGCCTGATCCTGAGAATAGATAGGGGTTGGTTGGGCGTGTTTACACGAGACGGATCGTGCCGGTATATTACAGGGACGATCAAGCGAGAAGTGGTGGAAGCAAGCGACATTGAAAAATGAAAATGGATGGAAGAGTTAGATTTTAAAAATTATTAAAATTAATAAAAAATGAAATGGGCATTGACTGTTACATTAGAGCTCTACTGATTTTCCGTAGAGCTCGAACTCTTCCATCCATTCTCAAAACAAAATTTTCTGTGACACTATTTCCAAGATGGGATTCGGGATGACGGGCTTTGTGATGACGAAATAAAAATATTCCCATGCTACAAGAGTAATCTCAATAGAGCAATGTCCCCCGAAACCCCAACTCGACAACTAAACACCATAATTTCTTTCCATCATAACACGACTTCAGTGTCGACGAAAATAAAAGAAAAGTAGAATTTTGCACCACAAAGAGTTACCATGACACAACTCCAGCTGCAGTAAGAACCACTTGCGGATGCACGAGGCTGCCAGACCCCCGAACTTTGGCCACAAGTTCACCGTTGAGCCACGCGTCCTGGAGCACCACGGCCATCCAGGGGTACTCACCGAACTGGCTCACGTGCGCGCCGTAGTGCGTGTCGAAGTCCTGCAGTGTAAATAGTTTAGCATCGATAGAATTTGGGACGTTACATCAATACGATACGTAATCAATAACATACGAGTTTAGCATCGATAGAATTTGGGACGTTATATTAATAATAAGCATTTTATTAAAGGCACCGGGTAGTGTTTAACAAGGAACGGGATTTTAAAATGTCAGTCTCTGCGTGCTGCTGAATGGCATGAGCATTGTGTTAAAGTGAGAGAATTGATAAAACATAAAATTTGTTAAAAAACAGTAAACTTTACAAGGGAGCTCGGGAAGAAGGTTATTCGTGTAAAGGGTGGAAACAGTTTTGACTAATCATGCAACAATGGTAATTACGGTGAATATCATAGTTGAATAGATAGAATTACTGCCGGGGAATTATTTTTTAAGTGGAATTGGCTTAGAAGATGAAGAATCCATATAGTGTGTCTTTAGACGCTGGTACGAATAATATCAGTATCCAGTATCATAGAACTCGTTTTCTGAAATAATCATTTTGGATAAAGGTTTAACAAATCCCTTCGTGACATAAGAAAGACTAATAAGTACCCACAAGTCACAGTGATGAATGATGAAGCTCGGTTAATATAATAGCATTGGTTATGGTAAAATATTGACGCTACTCACCCCTCCAGATCCAAAATGTTCATAATTTTGACACGGCTCATCTTCAAATTTATTTAATTCAAGATCCTCCGCGTTGCTGAACGAGTTTCCTCTTGATCTATACTGCACCACGGATGAATACGGCCGGGAGACGATTGGACCGTCGCTCAACAAAGGCTGCCGAGATCTTGGGGCGGCCAACAACACCTTTTCTAGAAGACCAAATGAATCGTCGTCCGCGTAATGTTGGAACTGTCCGAAAGCGCTCCCACCAGGTAATGCTGTTACTTTATTTTCAGGATGGCTCGTTGATTTATTTAAGTTTTGTTCGTTATAATCGCTCGATTCAGTTTCCTTTATTCCAGGTGGAATTTCGGTACTGTTTCCAAACGACTGTCGAAGAGTACTTGGGTCTCCTGAATTTAACGAATTTTTTTCATGTGCATGTAATGTTGGCTTTAGAATGGAGTATTCTTCTTCGAGAAATATTTGTTCAGCAATAGTAGCCAGTTTGGGATTTTCTGTAGAGCTCGAAGCAATATTTTCTGTGACGCCATTTCCTTGCAGCGCCAAAGATTCCTGAATTGTTTTTGCGGGAGCTGAGGCGTCTCTGGTGGCTAAATCAGTCCCTATTGTGTTCGGAACGTTCTCAACCGCAAGCACTTTTGGAACCGGATGATCGAGTGAGTTCGGAGATGCTTCTAATTTGGAGATCATGCGTTCACCTCGCAGAGTTGATTCCTGAACACTTGAACGTCCATGAGTAACTTGCGGTGAATGTATTTCTCGGGCCAACGGCTGCTTCGGGATAGCTTCATCTTGCGAGTTCGTTGGCTTCGCTGTATCAGTGATCAAGAGGAACTCTTTTATAACATTTCGAACCCAATCTCCTGACTCATACACGAAGGATGAGTAAAAATCGGGCAGGCCTCTGACACCACACTCGACCCCGCCTGACAGAGCGCCCACCAGCTTGTATTGACCGTTGGGCGACAAACTGGGACAAACCAATGGAGCGCCTTCATCTCCCTAAAATATAAATACACATAATTAGGTTGTGAACTAAGAGAGCAGCCATAAAATGCTGTGTAAATAATATAATAATATAAAATATATAATATAATATTATAATATAATAATATAAAATAATCATGATCAATTGTTCCACTAACAGTAGGTATTGCTATCAACAATTTCATATCCCGTTGTTTGATTAAAGTTTCCATCAAAACTCTACGCATCAAGACAACAATTTCAAATCCCTTTGTTTAACTAAATTTTCCATCAAGACTCTACGCATCAAGACAACAATTTCATATCCCGTTGTTTTCTAAACTAACAAAATTTTCCAACAAAACTCAACTCTAACTAAAGTTTCCATCAAAACTCTACGCAGCAAGATACTCACACGACACACACTAGGTCCTCCGAGACCTCCGCCACAAAGTTGCGACTCATGCAGCTGAAAGTAAGGGCCCAGCTGATGCCTGAGCCGCTGTTCGCAGGTGCTGTTGTCGAGGACAGGTGCGTAGATGCGCTTCAGGATGTCAGCGTGTTGACGCGTCCCTGTATCGATTGCAGGGCAAACCAAACCTTGTTAGGCTGCTGGCCTGCGAGCCAAATATCGCAGCGCGATTGAGGAAGAGCAGCAGCGTGCGCTCATATTACGTACAGGCCAATAGGCTTGAAATTGCAAGGCTTCGGGGAAAATAGCCTTGTAATCATTGTTGAAAAATAACAGAGAGGAAAGGTACAGTTGTCAATTTGGCTAGGCAATCAATAATGAATTGATAATTTGAAGAACATATGAAAATACAGTAGGTATTACTTTCTTGAGATAAACTTTAAATGTGGTCATTTGTTCAACCTGTTAAAATTTCGCAAATTTTTGTTTGATTACCTGAACTTATGAACGAACGATTGAGGGATTTTGGAATTCTGAATAAATCAATGAGCCACAAAAGTTATGAAGCAGCGCACGTTACAAATATTTCAAGTCTCTGAATTTTTTGGTTTAAATTTTACAGAAAATTTTTAGCCAGATTGTCTGAAGTTATTTTAGAATTAGAATATTTTATGTTTCACAAATATTCATCAATTTTCATGCCCAACCACCAAGAAATAATCGATCATTTGATATTATCATAATCTAATGGCCCCACAAGAGGCTAATTAAAATTCATATAACAAACTTCCACAATTGTACATGAATTTAAAAAAGAATGTTTAAAAGTATTCTTCAATTACCTCTCCCGTAGGCGCCCCAGCCGTTGACGACACAGCGCGACCTGTCAACCTCCGTCAGCGAGTCCGCCAGACAGATTGTCTGCACCACGTCAGTCTTCCTCACCGGCTCCTGAGGTCCACGGAAAATATTTGTGTAATATATACACCGTCTTGATGTTAGTACGGGAATATTTTAAATTCATTTGGAAAATAAAACCTTTTATAAAGGGTGATACACGGAAACTTCCTGTTTTATATTTCGCGTCAAGCCGCCAAATGTCGTAGGAAAAGGGCGGGGAGTATTTCATATAAGAGACAAGGTCATGAAGTTTTGTGTTCCGCATAGTCAGTTGTCACTATGCATTGGAGTGCAAAGCTTTTTTGGCCTCCAAAACGGCTCTTTCTAATGGCCATTTTGCAGAGATATCTCAGTCTAAAACAATATTTTGTCGAGTGCCTCATCTCCTTGAGAAGTGACTTTCTTTGGGCGGCCCAATCCCCCGATTTGCCTCCGTGTAATTTTTTTATTAGGGTTATCTTTAATCAATTGTTTACAATGACTGTCCAAGGACCACACCTCATTTGAAGAACATCATACGTGAAGTCATCGCCAACACACCCGTCACTATGCTTTAGCGAGTTGAACGGAACTTCAAAAATCCGATGTGGTCTTCAAAACTAAGTGACACAAAAATTCAGGCATTTTCTGTTTCAATAAAAATTATGTTGAAATGATATCTTCACTGGTTCTATTTACATTGAGCTTTTAAATCAGGAAGTATCCGTGAACAACCCTGTATAATGGAACTAAAGCTGGGAAGTCGAAACTACCACTCTGTTGAATGCCTTACGCATGTCATTTCCAGTTCATGCATCGCAGGGCGGCTTGACTTTTGAATTTCTACAAATGCATCATAAATATAATTTATATTATATAACAGTGGTCAATGTTGGTGAAATATGTTACTCATTTCCTCTTAATCAGTCTGTAATCATGAAACATTTTCAAGTCGAGGGACCAGTCCTCTACCCTCACCCGTAAGATGATGACCGAGACATCGTGTCCTGAGTTCATGGTGGGGTTAAATCCAGGATGGAAGAGCACGTTCTTGACAAGAGTTCGCTGCCGGCCGCGCCGCAGCTCTTCCAGCTGATCTTCAGAGTATCTTTGTCTTGGTTGCAGGAGATTGTTGTCGTGTTGAACTTGTGCGATAGGTGGAAGGTTTTGGTTCTGTTGATCAAATGGGATATTTCTGGTTTCTGTTTTACGATCATCGAGCGGTATACGGTGATTATTACATCCAAAATCGAGATCAGCAGTGCCAATGCGGTGATTATTATAAGTAGTAGGTTGCCGACTTCTAATAAAAGGCAAGTTTTCCAGTCCAAGTCCAGAAGACCCTGACTCAAGTCCATCCACAAACGGATTGAAGTCGCGTCCTTGCGAAAGTTGATGGAACTTCTCTGGTTGTTGATTCCGTTGCTGTATCTGAAACGTGTTCTGAGGTAGGAAGTGAGCTTGACGCGTGAACCGGCGTTGTGGCGATGAGAAGGTTGATAATGAATCAAATCTACGACCTGTTGTTTGGAAGTGAGACTGTGGATGGTGAGGCAAGAAATTAAGATTGTTTGAAGTGGGCTGATGGCGCAATAAATGAGGGTTGTGTAGATTAGGCTGATGATCTTCGTCCGTCTGTTGATTTAAAGAACGGTCCGACGTTCTGTCCCACTCACCCAGCACTGCCACCAGCGTGTTGGGGTCAGCCCTGCATATACAAAAATATCGTCAAGTATTTTCCGTATATTTTATCTATCTATGTATTAAAAATAGCTTAGCAATTTAAAACTATTTTACGCCCGATTTTTGAGAAAATCTCTCCAGAGCGGGCAAACTTTAACTGAAAATTAGTTCAGAATAGCCTTGATTGCTTATATTTTGAAAATATTTCCAATGGTAATTAAAGAAAAACTGCTCAAAAACTCTAATCATCTTACTAGGTTGTCACTGCAACGAGATATTATGATCAAGACGGCGCTTATAGGCGAACCCCAATCTTTATCATTGCAGAAATAGAGCGAAAGATTCATGCAGCAATCATTAAATATTGCAGTATTAAGCAAATTATTTTCAAAACTTAATAACATTAAATCTATTCAGTATACCCATTATGTTGATAGACAAGTGAAAGATTGCCGCCATGCATAATTGATAACGGTTGTGTGAGCCAAAATTAAGTATTTAAGTACAAAGCAACACATAAAGTTCAGCTTTAAACAAATAATGCGTCACCCACCCTAGCATGATGTTGCCGGTTGTGATGATGAGCTGAGGGTGAATGAGTGCCCCCGCCCCTCTCACCGAGCACTCGTCACCCACGCAGTCCTGCAGCAGCGCCACCCACGGATGCTCTCCGTACTGACTTTGCTGCGGCAGCACCGACAACTGCGGCTGAAACACCCAGAACACGAGTCACATAATACAGCGATGTTGTGATAGATAATTAAATTTTTACAAAAAGTTTTTGAATTTAGTGTCGTTCAGTAGATTTGTTAGAACATAAAAATGCGAAGAAAACCATTTGGTGATAATGGATAATAGTACAGGGAGGTGTGGATAAGGTAATAAGAAACTGAAGTAAATGAGCAAAATAAAGTAATGAAGTTGACATCTTGAATTTCCGGCAGAAGGGCATTTTGGTGAAGACATTACTTTTGGGTGAGAGACAAATTACAAGATTTTATTAAGATATTCGCCATGCGAGAATTTATGATGCAAATCGAAGCAAACCGATAAATCGAAAAGAAGCCTTTCATATGTAAAAGTAGCTAATTAGTGAGAAGGGAATCTATAAAAGCTTTATTATCAAACATATTCACAAAATTAAACCCATTCATTGGAAAAACTAGAAATTAAATGGAGTAGAGGAATATAAAAGAAGTCTTAATCACACAATTCAGAAATTTTTCAATCTTCAATGTCATCTTCTGTTTTGACTACTCAAATAATTCATGTGTATTTTTCAATGGGAATGAACTGTTCAATTTGGAATGTTTAATATTAGCGGTCACTTTATTTACTGATCGAGTTTAAAACTTGACGATTCTCACTCACTGTTTGGTAAAAAATCCATGCTCAAAGTATGGTATAATGTACCACACTTAATGTTTTTTTTTTTTTTTTGTTACAAGCCAAATCTCAAAAAAATGTCACGTTATCAGTAAGCGCGCAAATAAATTTGTGCAAAATATATGACGCACATGATCAGAAAATCCAGGCTCTAATCCAGATAATATCTATGCTATTTCGGCAGCATTTCATGTCACGCAATAACGTTCTTATTGCCGTTCAGCTCGTCGGTTCAAAGAACCAATATCTCACCGTCAAGTTGGCCGTGATTCTGTAGCCCACGCACTCGACGAAGGTCGCGGTTTCTTCAACTTGATTGCCCGTCAAGTTTAAACTTTTCCGAGCGTATTCCTCTTTAGGGCTGTCCATTTCTTCGGTAACTTCACCGTTGTTGACTTCAGCCGTCGATAGCTCTTGATCAATCACTGACAAGTTGGTCTCGGGGAAGCTATTGTTCAAAGGAAAGACAGTCGTAGCTTCAGCGTTTGCTGAAGACGAATAATTACTGTCTTCGGCAACAGGAAGTGTCGTGGTCATCGATGTAAGATTTACGCCACTATTCCTTTCCTCCGTGAAATAATCTTTCACGTTTCGAATAATCTTGTCAAAAGTAGAACTTATAGTCGAAATAATTTCGTGCTCCTCTGAAGGGTCTTGACATTGCGGCGCTTCGGGAAGAACGCCGACCAGTTTATAAATGCCGTCTGTGAATCCTGGGCAGACCACTGCTCCTCCAGAACGTTCCTGTAGCACAAAATCTTACTTAGATGGAAAATTAATAATAGAGCAATTTATTACGATTTAAGCATCAGAACATATAACGCTTAGAAATTTCGCTATAAAATCATCGGAAAATCAGTACATGATCCGAAGTATCAAAATTCTTGAGCCCATGCACGATACTGACAAAATATAAAATGTAAGACTAATAATATGGCATGAAATCAATTGAATCAGAACAATTCTATTTAAACAGCTCTCAATAAATGCAGAATTGATGTGATATTTCAAACAAGAAAACATTACTGACTGGGCAAGAGCTGAGGAATCTGGAGCAGAGCGGCGCAGTATCGGCGCCGGCACTGCAGGGCAGCACGGCGCTCCAGACGCGGCGTAGATCGGCGTCCCACGGGCCGGGGCCTGGGGTGCAAGCCACGACACATTATATTCAAGATATATTCAGTAATAGTTCCCATTTTAACACGCCAATAACTCTCTTCTAATTGAATGAGCCGGTATCATTTATTTCTCACCGAAATTGCCAAGTGTTTAGTCCTTCGAAGAAAATAACGAAAGTGATGAGGAGTAAATCGAAGTTGCAATTTATAATTCATAATCTAAAATGTAAACTCATTTTAGGTGTGCAAGATAATAAATCATTAATTGCAATTATGCGAAAATCCCACCAGCATCCTAGCCAACATGAGGTTTTATTCTCGCGCAAGCAAGTGAGATCGACACATTGCCTGAAATCAACATGATTTGAAAATCATACCGCTTCAGCTACCAGCATGCTACAGAAGTAAAATTTCTTGTATCATAAATTGTTTGTAACGATAGAAAAGTCTATTGAATAAATAAAACCCCTAAAATAACATTAGTATACAAGCACACATTCGTTTTGAAAAACTGACGGCTGCTCCATCACATGCCTGTTAATGTTAATGACTTTTGTGACGCCCAGCCAACCTACAACCATTGTTTTTAGCTGAAGTTTGAGACTGTTAGTCAACAACATGTCAATATATCTACCTGACTTTTGCGACGCCCAGCCAACTTTCAATCATTGTTTTTAGCTGAAGTTTGAGACTGTTCGTCAGCAACCTTTTATTTACCTGACTTTTGCGAGGTCCAGTCGGTCACCATACAGCGGCTGCGGTCCACCTCCATCAGAGATCGCGCCAAGCACAGGCTCTGGACGGTCGCATCAGCTTGTGCTGGTTCCTTAAGATAACATGATTTTTTAAATTAAACTTAATATTTTATTGAACTGAATTTTCTTCACCGGTTTATAACAAAAAATCTCATATATTATGTTAGAAGCACTCAATGTCAATGTTACTCTATATTTTCATTCAAATGTAAACGTTTTTACTCCTCACTTTAAGGACAGCGAGTGCCACTTCCTGCCCACCGGCGTCCACCAAGACGACGTCAGCGATGTACTTCTTCTGCAGGTGAGAGGGCGCCACTGACGGGTGCTGCCTGAGTCCCAGGAGCGCGCAGATAAAACCTCCAGAAAATCTGTTGTGCATGGAACCAGAATGTTCCCTTACCCCCTACATTTTAATTTCAATATCAATAAACTAAACCCTCTTACATCCCACGATGTCTTATACAATGTGCTCAAGCAGCGTCTTCCATTAAGGTGCGACTTGGCGTCAGGGACCCAACCTCAAACTGCGTGTAACAG